AATCTCTAGGTGAGAGAATTCACCCAAAGCTCGGAATTGATATAAATCCTCCTGGTAGCTTAACAATATAGTAAACTCGTGATGAGAAACCATCAGTTTCGTCCAACTAAATTAACTCCATTATTAGGGGAGAATGTTGAGTAATCCACCTATAGTAAGTGTGATGGACAAATTCAATGAAAGAAAAAGATGATGGTTGGGACGTTGAAAGACAAAGGCTTAATGGTTTTGATGTATTATATGCATTTGTTTTGAATGTTTTGTTGTAGGTTCTATTGTACAATAAGTTGTATTGCCAGGTATGTGTTTAATACTTATTAATGAATCTTTTATGAATATTTTAAAATTCAGAAAATGTTAGAATTTGAGACTATAGATGGAGATATATGACCAGCAGACAGTGCTACAACGCACACGAATATTAAAGATAAAAAGTATTTCTCCAGTCTCAAAATAAATTTTTTTGCTGGAAGCATGAATATGATATCTGGTAATGCAAACATTATTATGGGCTCTGGAAAAGTCAGTTTTTCAATGTCAAGAGGAACAAAGTTTGAGATAAATGATGCGTTATATTCCCCAAAGTCTTATAGAAACTTATTGGTATCAGCAGTATTTGAGATGCTAGATCAAATGTCCTACTTCTACTAATCAGTTGTAGAATAGAGATCAGGTATCAATCCAATTGTGGGAGATGAGATGCAAACAATGCTGTAAGCTAAGCGAGATTGGGGTTTGATTATGTGAGAACAAGACTAGCAACCTAATGATGCAATGAAAGAAAAGCTTAAACTAAATGCAAGTGAACAAAGCTAAACAATAAACTTAAAGCAATGACTAAGACAAGTACTAAGCAAGAGATAACTACTAAGGCAAGAACTAAGCAAGATAACTTTGAAAGCAATTAATTAAAAGCAAGACTCAAAGTTCTAAGCAATTGTGGGATTGTGGTTTTTAAGAGTGACAAGGGGATTTCTTTCTAAGGCACTCAATAAGCAACAACAAGCAAGCAATTCTCAATGTTATGCTCCTAGACAAGGTATCTAATGGGAACCACTTTGCGTCAATAAGCAATTAATATTCAACAAGATTGAAGTGTCATACCCACTTGTGATGGCATATCCTTCAACCATGAGCATAAAGTTCAGAACCATTCTAGCCTAAGAGATGCACCAATAAAGCAACTACTCTCTCACCCAAGTAAGAATTCAGATCAACTCTCTTTTAGTTCTTGCATTTCTTCTCCGATCATTTAGGTTGTTAGAATCATCCTCCTTCATCATACATGGTTAAACTTAGTTAGTGCCTTGTATCTCTTTTATTCTTGTTCCTAGATTGATTGATAAACCTCTTCTATACTATATAAGATTAGAGATGGATTAAGTTAAGACTTGCAAAAGTCCTTCAGTTACTCTTTTTTTAATGCACCATTATTAAACAGATATTTTTTTTTACTATCATTTCCATAAATTCTGTAAATGATCTCTATGCCAATGTTTATCATATATAAACTATGTAAGTTTCACAAATTTTTTTTCTTTTTTATGTTCATATATATAGGCTTCGCATATACATACACATGCGGAGAAATGACAAAACCGGACTTTCTGCTTTTCAAACTTACAAGAGTTTTAGATTTGTTTTAAATCTCCAACAATTCGCACTATTTTTACAACGCTGAGTCATACAGTGCCCTAACCTCAAACGGGTTTCGATCGATGTACATCTCTCTCTCTTGAGTATAAAAGTGTGATGGATCTTCGATCGATGTACATCTCTCTCTCTCTCTCTCTCTCTTTGGACATGCTATATATGAAGTTCCATCACACTTTTATACTCTGTTGATAAATTTCCAAGTTGTTTCAAGTTGATTATATTACCTAACTCCAATGTTACCTTATCATGTAAATTCGAAGGTAAAACTATGTATCTTAATTCTTGCAACTCCTTCAAAAAATTGACATATAGGCTTGCCATATATAATATACATCGAGACTCAAATTGAACAACGAGTTCAGATTTTAGATAGAAGAAGGTAAATGAGCTATCCAAGAACATTATAAACTCATATATATCAAGTAGATGAGCTTCCCCATGCTAGAGGGTATCTTCCCTCCTTCAAACTTGGCTCTAGAATGCTTTCATTGCTGATTATATCAAGTAGATTATGAGTCATCTTCCCATGGCTCTGTTGGTCTCTGTGGACAGCTAGAAATCCCATAAATCCGACTCCTGATGGTGAAAGACAAAGCCATGATTTTGCATTTGTAAAACAAAATGTAAAAACAGAGATGAGACATTTTCTTCTGCCTGTGTCACAAATAGGCAGGGGAGGAGGGGATATGTGGCTGTGAGGCTGTCTCAAGTTCTCCATAATGCACACATGTTGAAGAGGACAACAAGCATGTTTAGAGGAGGTTTTCTCCTATTGACATAGCTCCATAACTAATTTTTCACAGGAAAAGCTTCATTTATTGGAAATTCCCAAAAGTTTCCTATTCCATCTTTGAGAAAACCAGCAGAATATAGGAGAAGGTGTGAAGATGATTTGATCATCGGTATCTCCTGTGTGTTTTTGCATGGTCAGAGAGATTTGATAGTTAGATCCAAGTAACAAGCCTTTTTCACCAAGCATTTTTAGCTTAGAGGTCATCGCATAACTTAAAATGTATCACATAACACCTCAACCATCAACTTATTTCACTATTACTTTTGAAGTGATCGTAATTAACCGTTTTGAGACGGAAAGCAATTTTGGTCTTAGTCCATATGAACTGTACCAAGCTCCTAATAATATTTTATTTAATGAATTTAAAATTATATTCAAACAAAAACCTTTTTGTTACAATCAAATGCTACATTGCTTTGAAAATGAATTGAAGCTTATTTAAAAGTAAAAAAGATCACGATGGGGTGCTAAACCAATACATGTGCTCCATACTTTTGGTTTCCCATGGATCTTATTGTGCTGAACCTATTCCTCAGATTTTTGTCGATTATTTTGATTAACCGTGACGACGGGATGGCTTCTTCTCCATGTCTTTTCCCATTTCTTTCTCTCCATAACCCATAGATCGTTGCTTCAAAAACACACAGTAGGATGAATAGATGAGTCAGATCTTGTTTCGAGTCCTTCTGAACGCCAATTAGAATGTCCAATTAGGTGATGAACTGCTGCTTGAGAATATTCCGAGCGAATCATATTTGAAAATATGCCAACAATTTCTTTAGTATGTAATAAATTTTATCTAAAGAAAAAGAAAAAATGATATATATATTCATTAAAAAGCAAATAAAAATAAATAAGATAAACTTTTAATTCTAAAAAAAAAAGAATAAAATAAAAGATTCTGCAAATTTTGGTATATTTGATAAAATAGTTCAAAATTACAGGAAATACTGCTGAAGTTGTAAGAAATATATATATATACTTATTATTTATGTATCATTAGATCTTATTATATAAAGTTTGATGCATCAAAGTTAGTAATTCATATAATCTTGATATGCAGAAAATTTTTTGATTCTGATTTTAACATATGTCTCTATTCAAAAAAAAAAACTTTTTAGTATTATAAATCTGCATATACGCGGTTTTTAATATTATCTTATTATATAAAATTTATTATATAAAGATAGATACATCAGAGTTAATAATTTACATGACCGTGACACATAACAATTTAATTCGATAAAAATTTGACATGTGTTGTGATTAAAAAGATAAAAACTAATCAAAAGTAAATAAATATATATAGTATATATTAAAACCAAAAAGATAAATTAAATTAAGAAAAATAAAAACTAAAAACCAAAGCAGATAATGTTAAGTTCAGTTGTCAATTGTAAATAAAAATGATATATATCAATTAAGAAAATAAAAATAAAAATATATAAAATTAACTTGAATTTAGGAAAATATATAAAATACTAAATTTAAAAGAAAATAAAATAAAAATATATATATTTCAATTAAAAATAGATAATTAAAACAAGAGTAAATAGTATATATCAAAATTAGTAATACACTTAACTACAATACATGGTGATTTAAATCGATAAGATTTTGACATTGCGATTAAACAAAATCTAAATTATATATATATATATATATCAATTAAAAATGAAAATAAAATTAAAAACAAAAGTACAAAAGACCAACTCCAATATAACTAATGTAAAAACAGATATATTCAAATAAGAAAAACAATTAACTTCAATTTATGAAAATATAAACTAATAGATTAATACTAAAAGAAACAGGAAAATATTAGCTCAAAGACTAATCTTAAAAGAAAAAGAAAAAATTATCAAATGATATATTTCAGTTAAGAAAATTAAAAATTAAAAAAAAATTAACTTAAATTAAAATATAAAGAATATATTTCAATCAAGAAAAAGAAAAGTAAAACAAAAGTAAGCAAGATTAACTTCAGTTTTAGAAAATATAAGTTAAAATATTCATCCTAAAAAAAACTGAGGATTGATTTCAATTAAGATAATGAAAATTAAAATAAAAGTATAGAAAAACATAAGTTAAAACTCTAATCTTATAGAAACATAAAAAATCATAAAATTTATTACGTTACAGAGTATGTGGTAATTATTAAAATATTGCAATTGTTTTAATAAAAGTTAACCAACTTTGTATTGTTCATCGTATTGACATAATATGACTACTATAATGTTTTATAATTTTTTATGCAATATTTAGAAACACAATTTATTATCATAAATAAATTGTGCTGACAATTTTTCTTTCAAAAAAAAGCAAAAATCAGCAATTCCAGCCTGTTTTTATCTCCAAAAAAAAAAATTAATAAAAAATAAGAAATTTATATTACATACTAATATAAAGAAACTAAATTTAGTGTCAAAAGTGACCCCACGGTATCTAAACAAATCATTGACTCCAAAACAATAAACACTTTTGTGTAGTTAAAAACATCAAAAAATCATTTACATACAAACCATTATTAGTGAAGAAATCTATTTTGAAGAATCCATTGTTCCACCAAAGAAAATAGAGAAAATGTCAGAATCCTTACATAAGAGGATGAAATTCAGCCTACCAGACGATGTATTGGAGCTTATCATGTCAACGTTTCTTCCCATCCAAAATGCTTTAAGATGTCGTCAAGTGTCGTCAAGGTTTAGGAAAGCAAAGATTCGATCCCGATATCTTGATTTCAGCGGAATAAACTCTGTGAAACGGAGTCAGTTAAAGGTAGTAGATATAATCGACGAAGTTTTTAAAAATCACATAGGATTGGAGATCAACCAGTTGGTTTTGATTCTCAATCATATCGGCATTGAAGATAAGATTTTAATGTGGATTAAAAAGTGTATTGATAAAAATCTTAAAGAGCTTGTCTTAGATTTTTCCAAATCTAAAAAAGTTTTAGAGATTCCGATCAATTTCTGGGCCATTGAGACGCTAACAGTTCTGAAGCTCAAATGGTGTAAATTCGAAATACCAATTAACTCTCTCCTAAAGGTTTAAAATTATTGACAACACTTGCGTTAATGAAGACCAAGGTGACAAAAGAGATGATAGATGCAATCTTCAGCAACTGCATCCACCTCGAGATGCTTGAACTAATCAAATGCTCAATGTATGGGATATTGAACATCAATGCTCAAAATCATAAGAAGTTCAAATCGCTGGTGGTATATTCTATGCCAGACCTCTTGACGATCGATTTGGATGCACCCACTCTAGAATGCTACCAGTACGATGGATATGTTAGGATAGTTGACTTTTCACGAGTTAATGCACTTAAAGAGGCAAAACTTCATTATAATCGGAGTTACGATTGGCATAACTACAATCCGTCAGCCATGGTGATTGCTAATATGGGTGCCTATGTAGGAGTTCATGTCCTTGCAACAACAAACATTTTTCTTGAGGTATGTTATTTTGTTCTCTATATAGTTTTCATAGTTATTAATAAGTAGTTTCTTTTGCTTGCGTGTTTATTTATTATAGGCAAGTAGAGAGTTTATTGCAATATGAACGAGATGATATCTTAGAAATTGTTTATCTAAGAGTATGCAACTTTGGTGTTATCCAGTATTAGAAACTAGAAAGGTTTACTATTTGCTTAGGACAGATTAAATATTTTATCTTTTCATGCTATTTAGTGTATTGTTAGGAGGACTGAGTGTATAAAATTATTGTGGTAGTAGGGTCAATAGAAAATATTCATATTTGAACATGCAACTTGTACATTCTTTGAGAAAATTGTTTCTCCAGCTCCAACCTGATTTCACCCAAAATCCTTGTCCTAATAACTTTTTTTGAAGAAAATACTTTTCTAACCAGAAACAGTGAAACATTTGAGTAGTTTATTTAAGCAATTTTCATATTTTTAGGGTTATTGTAACAAATCTCTCTATATTAAATGTTATAACACATAATTATTGTCAAAATAAATTTGTAGAAAATACTATAAAATGTCACAAAAGTTGGTACATTCTTCTTTAGAAGTTTAGTTACTCTTTTTTTTAATGCATCGTTATTAAATTAGTTGGATTTTTGTTTTTGGAGAGTATAATTTCTACAAACTCTTTAAATAATCTCTATGCCAATGTTCTATGGAAGATTCACATATTTTGTTTCTTTTGTTTGTTAATATATATAGGCTTTCGCGTATACATACATAGGTGGGGAAATGAGAAACTAGACTTTCTGCTTTTCAAACTTACAAGAGTTTCAGATTTGTTTTAAATCTCCAACAATTTGTACTCTTTTTGACATCGCTGAGTTTCTGACACGGTGCCTTAACCTCAAACGGGTTTCAATTGATGTACCTCTCTCTCTCACTCTCTCTCTCTCTCCACTAATTATATTCTGCCATTGGCTAACTCCATTAGAACTTTGGGTTGTTATGTGCAGATAAATGGTTTTACATTCGAACCTTATATGTTTTGGAGACTTCATCATAAGGCAAAGATCCAGAATGGCAACTACCCTTTGAACACTATCAAGTATGTCGAGATCATGGGCTATAAAAACCACTGGCATGAGCTTGATATAATGGAATTCTTTGTAAGAAATGCAAAATCTCTAGAGAAGCTGCTGCTGGTTGAACCTAGAAACCCAAAGATCAAATTATTTGAACCCAAGTATGAAAGGATCGCCAACATAAAAACCATATCTCCAAAGAAAGGTCTCATTGAATTTGTCAAAAATAAAGTTTAGGTTGTTCCTAAGCATGCCATAGTATAATTAATAGCTCTTTTGATGTGTTTGTAACCGAATCAATTTATTCTTGCTTTTTTTAATTTCTTCTAGATTTGAACTCTATTTCTTTTGGTTTATTTTCTCTCTGATTTGAACTTATGTGAGATTTAAGTGCTTCTAAACTAAAATATGTCAATATTCTCATGTTCATAATTATGATCATAGCTGTTGGGTTATTGTTTATGATCTTGGAATTTTATACAATTGAAGAACTTGTTACAACGTATTGATCATAGAAAACATTCCACTAATATATAACAAGAATCTTATTTTTGTGTGTCAAAATTAGGACCCATATTTATTGATTAGAAGCTGGAAACTTTCTACTGTGTAGAATTATGGTAAAAATAGAATAAAATAGACGTACATAATGTTTAAAATTTCTATCACGTCGTTAAAATGAAGTGATTTTGGTTAGTTTAATTTCAAAAAAAAATCCGAGGTTAAGGGGGTGGTATTGGATTCAAGAATTTAATAGAATCTGATAGAATTTAATTGGAGAAGTAAATAATAGAATTTATAGTATTTTAACTGATTTGACGGGAATTTTAATGCATTTGATAGAAATTTTGTTGTTACTTTTTTCTAGAATTTAAAAAAATGCAAAGGAATTTGATAGCTATATTTCAAAAGAATTCCAAGGAATTATAAGAACTTATGAACTTTTAAATTATTTTAGTACATTGAAAAAATTAATCAACATTATTTTAACCATAAAATATAAAATAAAGAAAAAAATGAAAGAAAAATACAACAACTACTACAAAATTTTATGAGTTGTAGTAGTTTTATTAAAACTCATAACATTGATCTATGCATTTTCAAAACCAGTTGCATCTCTCCACATATCTTCCGCCATAGTTTTTCTCCAAATATTTGCATTTTTTCTATCTTGCTCTTGGCTCTTCTGGAATAATAGATATGAAATGTTTTCAACAGAACTACAGAAAACCAATGATAAGAAAAACAAAAAGCTACTCGTTTCTAAAATTGATACCTTTTTCGATGGTAACTTTTATTTTTTTTGCTTTGAGAAATGTGGTGCAGTGATCTATATATATATGAGAGATGATCCAACCGTAAGATTTATCATGGGGATTTTATAATATTGAATATAATTTATCATGAACAACATTTTGAACTTCGTACTATTTTGTAGAAATTTTCTGAAATTTAAGATAAACGACTAGAATTTGACTAATTTAAAAATATTGTAACTAAATCTGGTTGTAAATATATGATTGATATTTGACGTAAATATTGCAATTTCATTTATTGTAATTATATATGATTGTGAAATCAACAACTAGTCACAATTCATTAGTAGTATCTATTTTATATTTATTTTTTATGTTCTACGAATGCGTTCGATGCACATAAGTGGATTCAACAATTTATATGTTTTTTCAATGCCAATTTGCAAAGTATGTCAACAATTACGGAGTCCAAAAGCATCTTCAGTCAAGGCTTCAGTCAACAATTGTTGACTTGCAAATTGCATAAAAAATCCCCGTTCATATGTGTTGCAGAGTTTCAAAGCCTCTAAGCTAGTCAAGAGATCTAGTGAGCTTACCTCCGACCTGAATAATGCTGGGCCACTCCTCCCTTGGATTTGCTGGTTCATCTGATAATGCTGAAATCAAAGAATCTTCGACAATCGGATTATCTCTGCAGAAGATACAATGTTAAAAGCAATTAAAGACACTGCAATGTGCACAATAGTAAGTGTCACTGCAATGTTGAGAATAGTGAAACTTTAGCACCTCATCAGTTTTGGTGAAATGAACAAGGTAGCTTTACTTTGCAAGAACCTTTTTAACCTTTTACTCAGCATTGTACAACCGTCACGATTAGTTTTCATTCTGATACTTCCGTAATGTAATGAATACAGCTGCGAAAAATTAAGGGTCTAGAGACAAATGCTCTATGTAAGAGCCAAAGCAAGTCTCTCTACTTCAACTAGAGAGGTTTTCAAGCACTAATCTTAGCACAATAGCAAGTGTCACTGCAATCTGCACAGAAGTCAGAACAAAAACAGCGAAATTGTCTTACCTTTTCGTCTTCTGAGTCGTCTGCTTTGTCTTCCTCTCATGCCTCATCCAGAACCTCCGTTAGAGTGTTGACAAGAACCGGAGATGTTCAAGTGTTGACAAAAACGGATACAGTCACATGCACTTTCGATGCAGCATGGAGGGAAGACACCGAAGATGCAGGCTTTGGGTGGATATTAGAATTCATCTCTTAAATCTCTACATTCAAGGATCAAGATGCCCTCTTTTAGCGGAGGTAATGACAATGTTAGCAGCTCTGAGACAAGTTCTGGATCTGGGTTTTACTGAGCTGTTGGTAAGATCTGACTTCCAAAAACTCATCAAATTAATTATGGGCGTTGTGGTTCTGAGAGTTCGTTTTCTTCGAAAATAACGATACAAGTAAATTCTCTTCAATTCTCAGCCTAAAAGTTCAGATTTGGTTCTTTACATTTTTATAATAAATTTTCTATTAAATTCCTTTCAAATGACTTTAATACTAAATTCATCAAATATTGAATAACACAAATATTTAACAGAATTGGAAAATTAATAAATTGAATAACACTGATATTTAAAAGAATTTGAAAGAATTAATAGAAACACCTGATCTAATAATACAGATATTTAAAAGAATTGTTAAAATAGATAATTGAATAACACAAGTTTTTAATGGAAAGTTCAGTTCCTTCAAATTCAATTGAATTTCCAGATCCAATACCCCCACCTAACACCTAAGTATACATTCGAAGCTAAAATGTTTGTAACTTGTATATTTTTCTTGAAAGGTAATATAATCATCTGGATTACATGTCGGGGGAGATTATGGACCTAAGACCCGGAACTTTTACAGTTAATGTTTTAAAAAAATTGTTATAGATATCAATTTTGTTTGGGTTATTGTTTTAACCAACCTTCTCTTTTCACAGACAAAAATAAGACAAGCCTTCAGATCATCGGATAATATAATATTGAGCTGAGGGCATAATAAATATCTTGGATTTTTATTCTCATTTATGTTTTTGTTTCGCCCATGTCAACAATTTTCCAATCTCTTTAAGGAGTATATTTAACCGATATTCAGTGTATAGCCTTAAAATATCCAATTCAATCCATTAAAAAGTTAATTTTGAAAATTTAAAATATATAGAAAATTCATATTTTAACCAAATCATTGCCAATAATTTATATAAAAAAATTATATTCTTTTTAGTTTGTTAAATTTTAATAGTTAAAGATGAAGAAAAAATATCATAAGCTATATATATATATGTGAACTATATATATATATGTGTGGATATTGGATACCCGACTTTTAAAAATTTAGTATATCTGATTTGGTTCACTTGTAATGATACTAAATTTTTTGTATTTACTTTGATACATGCAGTTATGGTTATTTAGATTTTTCGGGTCAAGACAATTACAAATGATATTTTACATAATCCTTGTATAACTGATACTGTTTGACATGGTGAATAATAGAGAGCGAAAGCTTAGATAACAAGTTAGATCACGAGAAATTGAGGAGTGCTTGCAAATAAAGTTGGGTTTATATGTTGTCAAAGAGACTTTGATTACAGCTAGGGTTTGAGAGTTTAAGACTTTACACAAAAAAACTATTTGGAAAACTTAAAGATTTTTATTTTATTTTATTTATTAAAACAAACATTGCCGAACAAAGAGTGATGACAACTATATTTAAACTAAGATAAGACTTGAGAAAATCCTAACATAAAGAAAAACATAAAAAGGACCTAATCACTTATTGAACACAACCAATTATGTTCAAGAAGACTGGATAAATTTATTTTGAAGAGAAAAAGATACACGGCATCATCAAATCTGTTGTCAAAGGATAGGTCGGGATTAGATGATGGAGTGA